GGTTTCACCCTGGCTGCGATGACAGCCGCTAATCGCTGTAGTTTGTCGCTGCCCGTGTGTCGAGCCCTTTATAGTCTGGAAAATACGGTAATATATTTCTAAATCAATGTTAAAATGAAGGAAATACACATTGTAACCTAATTTGTCTTTTTAAAAGCTTWATTAATGTCTTGATGATTTACATGCTTGGTTTTCTTTGAGCCAGGCTTCTGAAAATAACATCAAACGTGCACAATAGAGAAAAGACAAGCCGGTCAGTTTGAATAATGGAGCTGCTGCTAAGTGCTACCTGCGTCCACAAGCTGACAGTTGCAGTTAAATTTACCCCAAACCTTTAGACAACGGCGCTGAATACAAAGCAGATGATGAAATGTCTCGTAAAACAAACACAGCTGCATGCTTTCTGTTGTGCTCCTCTCATCTCTGCTTCCAGCATCGGAGAAATCTGTAAAGAAGCTTTCTTTCTTTCTTTGACAGTCCATCCAGGAGTTCAAACCCCCTTCAGGGAAACAAAGACRTGCCAAATATTGTCCTCCGTGGCAGCTTTATTTAGCTGGGGAGAGCATATGAAATGTATCTACGAGACCCGGCCCGCTGTGATTATTCGAACGTATGGCAGGGAGAGAGTGGAGAGGCGACCTCTGACCTCTTCTTAAGAGGGACAACGTGCAGCTGAAAGAACGAATTAAAGGCAACAGTAAGGGAAAGGGCTTTTGTTTGTAGCGAGGCAAAATATGATTAATAAATGAAAACCAAATGCTTTCATCTCTTCTGAATTTTTATGTTGTTTAAAAGCAGCGGCAACCCAAGGTCATCAGACATTGTGCTAAGCGGTGCGCTTGAGCACCGTTCCTATGACGACAGCAYGGCAGTGTCGGTCTCCACAACGTAACGCTCTGTCTCCTGCTGTTCTGCTCAAACTGACAGCTCTTCCTGACCGTATGTATGTCACATCTTACATGTCGTCCCGCCAGGTCCCGAAGGTGCCAACCTCTTCATCTACCACCTGCCCCAGGAGTTTGGAGACCAGGACTTACTGCAGATGTTCATGCCTTTCGGAAACGTGGTCTCTGCCAAAGTCTTCATCGACAAACAGACTAACCTTAGCAAGTGCTTTGGTACGATAAGCTTTCAGATTGAGCGACACGATTATACAGAAGTACTTGTTCTTTTGCTTAGTTTGCTGTGTGCTATTGGATGAAGAATGAAAGGTAGTCAAAATCATGTCAAATGGAACTTCAAGGTTCCCCAAGCCACAAAAACAAAAGAAAGCCCCCAACCAAGTTTCACAATGTGTGTAGTATGGTAGGTTTTTTTAAATTATTATTTTAATTTCTTCTTCTGGAAACATAAGGCTGGTGTGACGGCCAAAAACCTATAGTTCATTAYAAAGTTTATCTTAATTGGTTGGATGGTATTTTTGCCTCTTTTTCTACAGGTCCTGTCACATTATGACATTTTAGATAACTTATGTCAACTCATGAAAATTGTAAAAGCATCTACGATGAAGATGGAATTAGAAAAATCAATTGGAAGCCTCATTTAGTTTTGTTTATACTATATTGCGAACAGACTGATCAAATATATAGCTTTTATTAGTAATTTAGACGTAACTTTTTTCATAAGTTGTCTAAAGCGTTTTTAGTGAGACAGGGCCGTCTGTCTGATAAGCCTGGGGTTGCATTTCCTCTTGCGTCCACATCCTGGGACATTGGCTACCCTTCTATGAACTTAATATGTTTTTAAATAATATTGGCAGCTCGTCAGGTCTGACATTTCCTTTATTTGAGCTATCTTTACTAAGGTACACACAACAATACCAAACTATTAAACATGTTTGTACACAGGCTAAATGGCTAATTAGAAGCTCTAATGATACTAGTTCACAAAAAACACATGTAAGAATTAAGGTCTATTTAAGGGTACTAACAAACACGACTATGCTATTTTAGCATTTCTCTGTAAAATAAATCATTTCAGGTACAACATGGAAAATAGTGCCATGCAGGGTTTCATCCAGCTTGGTTTTGTTGCCTGTCATTGGTTAGCCAAAAGCTTTCTCATCTTTTCTAATCTAAAGTAGTGGTCTCTGCAGTCAATAAGWGGGAGTTTCTTRGGTGTGKGTGTGGTTTGGGTAAGCCGTGATTGGTGGGATAGATTTCTTATGGGCGTGGTTCRTGTAAACCATGATTGATTGGTTTGGCGTGYGAGTATAGTTTGGTTAAAGRCAGCTGGAGGGAAGTGTAACAGATYAGATATATGATTTTATAARTATTAATTTTAGTCMTAACTSGAGACAGGAAGGCGCTTGCTGCAGACAATTTGATCGCCAAACATTTGGAGGAATGAGTAACGTCAAAACAGCCCCAACCTGCCTGGAAAACGATTGCCATTTTAAAATGAMTATTAATATTAGTCAAAAATTCAGACAGGAAGGTGCTAGTTGCACCAAATTTTAAGTCAGTAAATTATATATACATGTTTACAATGATTTCACCATAACTATTTTCATCTTTTTAATTTCCCCACAAGACTTTCTGACCACTCACAGCTTACCCAAGCCATGCCCCCACCAAGAAACTCCCACTTTTTGACTGCAGAGACCTCCCTTCTCATCTAAATGGGTTTTAGACATTGACACAAAACCAAAACACATTTTTGWACATGTGTATTTAAAAAAAAGAGTCGATTCCTCCTGGAAATTCATTTAATCCAACTTTGTTTCTTCTGTGAAATGTCTTTCTGATAAGAAATGATAGGATAAAATGTGTGCTGTGGGATAMTGACGTTTTCCACCACCTATCAAATTCTGTCCTGTGTCTTTGCAGGCTTCGTCAGCTATGACAATCCCGTGTCGGCACAGGCAGCCATCCAGGCCATGAACGGCTTCCAGATTGGCATGAAGCGCCTGAAAGTGCAGCTGAAGCGATCCAAGAATGACAGCAAACCGTACTGATCTTAGTACTAGGGTCTATCTGCTCCCCCTGTTAGCACTGCTAGGGTAAGTCCCCCTCCCCCCATTAAAAAAGAGAACAAAACTAATAAAAAAAAGAGAAGAAAAAAAGCAAAGCCAGCCTCTTTAACCAGGGCGTGAGGGAGAGTCGAGGTGGGGTTCATTGAGAGGGAGGGGGAAACGACCTACAACCACCCAGAGGGAAACACCTTTTTTTTCTTGTTTTTATTTTTTTTTTCTTGCATTTTTGAAGATTTTCTTTATGTTAACTTTTAAGTAATGTTATTTATTGCAGTTTTTATATTATTTTCCTTTTTGGACACACATGAACACTTCCATTTCAACTTTTACTTTGTGTGTTCTTTCTCTTTTTTTATGATGGAAGGAAGTAGCTATTTTGGACTAGCTAGAAGCTAGCTTTTTTTAATTTTATTTTTAAAACGTTACCTTTTTTATTTCACCTTATTTATACATTTTCAGGACTAGTGAGTCAAAACTGAGATAARTACAAAGGAGCCATGGTATTTTTCTTTCCCGATCTTGTTTTGAACCCATTGGTGAAGGGTTTATTTTTACTGTTACTTTTTGAACGCGCACACCAATATGCACATCCACCCTTTGACCTCCACGGTGTTGGTTGCAGGCCGCCGCTGCTTTTCCAAACCCCTCTATGCCTGCTGGCAACCCGGGAGCAAAGGCTGCAAAACATTCGTGGCCTCGTTACAGTAAAGCCTACCGTACGGTTACACACTTGACCACAAGAACACAAAAACACTCTATTTTATGTCGTATGATTTCTGTTTTTGTTTYCTTTTCCGCAGAATTCAAAACAAAAAAAAAACRTAGCTGATGTTCTGGGATCACATTGGTCTTTGTTTTGACAGGAATATTACAGCACGTAGAAGAATTTCGAAACCAACATGTTGAATTTGGTGAAGGACAGAATACTACTATAAAGGTTACTATAAAGGGGTTCACTGAAAATACTTGATGTTTGTTGAAAGATTAAAAAAAAATTAAGGTACAGAAAAGCCACAGGCCTGTAAATTTTATTTGTAAAAAAAGCAGTTCTATTTTTATACATTTTTACTGCCTCAGATTAAAAAAAAAAAGATTTTATTTATTGCCTATCGTTAAGTTATTGGACTCCTACAAAGTATACCTTATCATTAAAGTAGACCCTTATAAAGACGTCTCGTGGAATCGGGTTTTCTGGTGTTTTTCTTCTTTTTTGATTTTTGATTTTTTTTTTTTAGGACAGGGACCACAATCACAAAACTTTTTTTTTCTACAACCCCCTCCAACACCCCACCCCCCCAC